CACCACAGCCACCATGCCCGTAAGCTCAGGCCCTGCCTCAACGTCCTCCACATCCTCCATATTCAAGCCCATCTTTGGCACCATCACTGCAGCTTCATCTCCAGCAAAAGTTTCTCCTTTTGCCTTCAAACCTGCGGCACAGCCGACCTCAGAGCCGACAACTGCCTCCACAGCTGCTCTGGCAGGAATCACGGGTCTTCCCAACGTCATCTTCACCACTGCAGCTACAACTGCCACCACCCAGAGTTCCTCCACGGATGCCACCATTAAACCTGTCTTCAGCTTTGGACCGAACCCGCCTGCTTCCGCTGGCCCTGCTGCTAGTGTGACTGTCACTGCTGCCACCTCCACCAGCACAACACAGCCCTTCCTGTTTGGAGGCCTCTCCAGCTCTGCTCCCAGCACAGAAACCAGCTTTACCCCCTCAGGGCCTGTGTTCCAGTTTGGGAAGCCACCTCCAGCTGCAGTCACTGCCACCACCAGTGTCCCAGGAGGCCCTGCCTTTGGCCAGGTACCTTCAAACTCAACAGTTGCTGCCACCACCGTGGGCTTTAGCATATTTGGGAGCACTACACTGACCACCTCTGCCCCAGCCACCACAGCTCAAGCGCCACCGACATTCGGCTCCTCGGTTTCAGCTTTTGGCAGCTTTTCAGCCAGCGCAAAGCCACCGCCACCGTACCCTGGCACTGGGAGCCAGCTCACCTTCAGCACTGGGGCTGCTGAGAGCCAGGTGCCCACCAGCAAGCCTGCTGCTGGCCCCATCAGCTTCACCCCCTCGTTCAATTTCGGAGCCTCCCCGGCACAGTCGGTGGCTCAGCCACCATTTGGCAGCGGTGCCCAGCCAGCCTTTGGCACAACCAGTGCCCAGGGCTCCTTTGGCACCAGCAGCACCCAGGCAGCATTTGGGACCACCACCTCAGTGTTTTCTTTTGGAACAGCCACCTCCACCACATCCAGCTTTGGTGCCACCACCCAGACCACAAGCAGCAGCACCAGTGCCAGTGTCTTTGGCACCACTCCATCTCCATTCACTTTTGGGGCCAGCACCCAGCCAGGCCCCTCCACCAGCGCCTTTGGGATGGGTACACCGGGCCTCAGCAGTGGGTCCGCAGCTGTGGCCTTCAGCTTCGGGGCTGGGCAGAGTGGGGCAGCCCCGGCAGCAGCGCCCTTCGGCTCATCTCTGCCGCAGAGTGCACTGGGAGCGCAGGGCCAGAGCACGCCCTTCGCCTTCACCATGACCAGCACTCCCAACAGCAAGCCTGCATTTGGAGGTGAGTCATTATGGAGCCATGGAATGGGTCATGTTGGAGGAGGCCTTTAAGATAATGTCTCTGCCATTGGCAGACCCCTTCCACTAGACCAGGTTGCTCAGGGCCCTGTCCAACATGGCCTTGAACATTTCCAGGATGGGATGGGGGCAGACAGGCCATCTTGAGGATCTAGAGTTGGGCAGGAATATTTCTGATGGACCTTGCCAAGGTGCCCAGGGTCCACAGCCCTGGTGAGGCCAGTGCTCCTGCTATGCAGAGCCTTGCTGTACAAGGGGAAAGCACTCCCATCACTCCCTGTAGTGATCCTGCTCCTCTGGGGAGGGGAATCCCTAAACTCTGCTCATTGGCCCCTCTGAAGGCACCAGCTCCCTGACTTTGCCCATCCAAGTATCCTGCAGGAGCTGAGGTCATCTGAGTCCTTAAGAACTACCTGGAACACCTTGGTGAGCTGGAATGCTGCCAACCAGCAACTGCTCCATGGATTGTGCCTAACAGCAAAACCGTTAGGTTTCCCTAACACTTGAGATCCTCGCTGGATATTCCCAGCTCCCATGGAACTGAAACCCACACAGTGAGCAACTCCTTGATCTAGCAAGGCCAAGGTCTTTGTTCCTCTCTGACAAATCCTTCTGTGCGGCCCTGCTGTTCATAGAGTCCAGAGATTATCTGGAAAATGTAACTTTTGCATTAAAAGGGCTTTTCAGGAGTAGAGGCTGGTTCTGGGAGATGGACTGTGGTGCTTCAGCCCCTATAGAGCATTTTGTGCCTCCTCTGGGTGCCACCAGCTCCCAAAGGCACTTTCTCCTTTGCCAACCCTGTCTCACAGTGACCTGTTGCTTTCCAGGAGCTTCAGTGCCCACCTTTGGGCAGGGCACGCCTGTCCCTGGAGCTGTGGGAGGTGGAAGCAGCACCCTTTCCTTCAGGACACCCAGCACTCCTGCCTCAAGCTTTGGAGGAGTCGGCACTTCCTTTGGTAAGGAGGGAGTTGATGCTCCAGCCTTGGGGAGCTCATGGGTCACGGTGTCCCCTTAGGTTGGGGACAGTGGTAGGGCCAGGTGTTCTCTGGGAGACGGCTCAGGGAGTACATGCTAGACTCTAGCAACCTGAGCAACCTTTCTGCTTCCAGGTTCATCCACTCCCACCTTCTCCATCGGGGCAGGATCCAAGATGGGCACTCGCCAACGGCTGCAGGCACGGAGGCAGCACACCCGCAAAAAGTAGCCCTGGTGCTGCTGGGCTCCACTGGCTCACGTGTGGAGGCCTCTGGACTGGAGCTGTCCCTGTGGTGGGACCAGGCCCCATCCCTGACACCCACTGGATATACCATGCAAGGATAAGCCAAACTCTTGTTACTTGAACAGTTCCAGACCCAAGACTGGACAAATCTCTGTACATATCCACAATGTTCTTTCCCTCAATTTATTTTGCCTTGTTTAATAATGTGTACATTTCTCCCCATTTGCTTCTTGTAGCTGTTTCCATGCCCCTCCCCAGCCCTCAGCCAGCCCCAAGGCCTTGTCCCACTCAGAGCTTGGCTGGCGACATGCCGTGGTTCCGAGTTCCTGTCAGACACCGTCTTCACCAGGTCCCAAAATCTTTCCCATTGTTCATCCTGTGGGCTGGTGAACATGGTCCCATGCCTGCAGCCAGGGTGAGTTCCAGCCTGGCTCCGTTTCGGTGCCACAGCTGACTGGCATGGGTGCAGCTGGGTGACACCCCTGGGACCTGATGTCCTGCTACCTCCAGCTGAGGACATGCCATAGCCTGGGACCTGCGCTGGAGGCACGGGGTGAGGATGGGGGTCCCCCCACCCCTCTCCCATCTCCGCTGCTTCGTGGGGCTGTGGGCTGCTCCCACTCTGCTCCCCAGTTCTGCTTTATCCGTGCTCCTGTTCCTGCACTCACTGAATCGAGTTTGGAGGAAGAGCTAAACCGTGTGTGTGGCGGCATGTTGGTTATGCCGGATTTGCTGTTTGGAGTTTCTTTTTTGGGGGCACCAGTCCTTGGGGGGAGACGTGCCCCGGCTAATTGGGTGTTGACAGTAGCATCACTGCGTGGCTGCTCGTGCTGGGGAGTTGTCCCTTCTATGTCGTGACTAAAAGGCAGCTAGGACAGGGGATTCCAACTATGGCAGTCTCTCCACTCCCTTTTCCTCTCTCTTTCTCCTCTCTTCCACATTTCAGGGGGCTCTGGAATTGCTCACAGAAGGAGGCCAGAGCAGATGCATTCTCCCCTCCATCCCAAATCCAAGTTGTTTTTCATTTTTCATCCCAGTGGACTTTACTAGCTCTTAGGAACTGTGGTGCTGCTTCCCTTGTCCCCATCCAGCCAGGAGTGAGATTCCCACCCTTCCCTGCCTTAGAGCTTTTGTGGGAAGAGACTGCCAGAGCTGGGAGTCACCAAAGAGCCACCCCCTGCCCTGTCCCTGTTGAGGGATGGGCACTCCATTCCCAGGAGTGCTTTGCTGCTGGGTTTTTACTCTCCGAGCCGTGTGAGTGTGTGTGTTTGCTGGGGTCTAAATTAAAAAAAGAAAAAAAAAAAAGAAAAAAATCACAAATATTTAAACATTTTTTAACAAAATAAAAATTTATTTTTATATTTAAGCTAAATTGCCTTCAAATTCCTTCAAGCTTGGTTCAGTGAAGTTGCCTACCCTGCAGCCGTTAGTGTTTAGCTATTCCCACCCTGCCTGTGCCTGTGGGAAAGCACTGTGCTGGGAAAGGCAGCTGCATCCTGCAGGCTCTGCCATGCTCCCCCCACTGTTCATCATCCCCTTCCTTTTAAATGTGATGTATGTGGATGTGACTAAACCTTTTTTTGTTCGTTTTTTAAAGTTTTTAATTATTTCTCTGAGGGTGGGGAGCAGGAGCCTTGATGTTACGGTGCTGAGTGCCAGGGTCAAGACATCTCTCCCCGCAGAAAGGGCAGTTGATGGGCTCTATGTGGCACAGAGGGGACGCAGCCCTGCAGTAAGGGGACATAGAGGACCTCCAGGTCCTGATGGGAATGTTCTGGCCATCATCCACCAACATGGCTGTGGGTGCGGTGGACCAAGAGCAGCCAAGCTGGGAAAATGTGTCCTTGGGGGTGGAGGAAGCAGAGGGCAAGGGGCTATTGCCTGCAAAGACTGACCTTGGGTGTCCTTCCCTGTGCCCATTAGGATTCTGGGCCAGGAGAGCACCTGCTCCTCATCCTTGAGGTGCCAGGGTTTGGCCTGGTCAGCTCTGAGAAGATGGGGATGAGCTGGGACAAGGTTGAGGCCACCCTGACTCTGGGTCCTGCCCCCAGGTAGCTGCCCCATGTAGTCCCACACACCCGTGAGGAGCCAGGCTGTCCCTTCCCTGTCACACAGGCCCTGCTGGGAGAGCCCCTTGTGCTTGGGGAGAGGCTGGGTTTTAACTGACTAAAGACTTGGATCATTCCTGGTGTGGCTGATGAGGATTTTAGTGTGAATGTGCAATTTTTGTTTCCCTGCTTCTTATGTCTCCGGTTTAAAATAAAATGAACTGTGTTCACTTGGCTGTGCCCATGTGTGTTTCCTGGGGCTGGAATTCCCAGGGCAGGGTGGTGCTAGTGGGGTTCAGGTGGAGCACCCTCTGGCTCATGTGTCCTTGCTCCCCCAGTTCAAAGAGAGGGAGAGGATTATTATTATTATTTCACCTTTTTCCCTCCCACTATGCCTCTACTATGAGCAGTGGCAGTTTCAGGGCAGGACTACACAAACACATTGGAAAAAACAGCAAAAAGAGAGAAACTTTTAATCTGCTTCATCCCTACAGTGAATTTTTTTCAGGAGGTAACATGATAAACTACCCTTAATCCAGCTGGAGGACCCCAGCCTTGCAGGGTGCCGAGTGGGGATTGCCTTGGGAGCAAACCTGGGGCAGGGGCTGGCTGCAAGGGGCAGCCCTGGGTGAGCAGTTGCCCCTTCCTGGCACCAGGGTGGTCCCAGCATTGGCACTCAGTCCCCAGCATTACAGAATTCTCGCTATGACTGCAGTTAGCACAGAGCTTGACTTGTGTTCAGGCCAGTATGTGTTCCCCACAGCCACAGCTGTGCAGGGGTTTGTCCAGAAAATGTTGTTTCATTCTTTCACCCGCTGCTTTTTCCTCTTCTTGGGAGCTGCTCCTGGCTCTGCTCCCTCTCCTGGCTGCGGGCTCTCCTTAGCTGCTGCAGGCAGGGAGCTGTAGACAAGAGCAAACGGCCTGAGCCACAAACACCCCCTAACACCCTCCCCAGGGTGCCCCCCAGAAGCAGCCCCCACAGCCCCCCTCACCTGGGGGCAGCAGCCCCTTCCCTGCACCGCTCCAGCACAGCCACGAAGAAGCCGTGGGTGAGGGTCTCTGCAGGGGAAGCACGGAGGCAGCTCTCTGCTCCAGAGAAGGCCGCGAGCCCTCGGCAGGGCCACGACGGGAAGGCAGTCACCAGCCTGCGGCATGGAAAAGGGCTCAGCACCAACCCTGCCCTACAGCCCCCCAGGCTCCCTAAGCCAGACCCACCTGAAGGCCGAGCCCCACTCCTGCAGTACAGCCTGCACCACATCCTCATTCTCTTCCTGGTGCAGGGAGCAGGTGGAGTAGACCAGGCACTGGAGAGCTGGGAAGCTCAGGGCATGGCTGAGGACACGGTGCTGGAAGCCAGCCAGCGCCTGCAAGCGCTCAGCACTCGGGGCCGCCTCCTCCCCTGGCCCCCGCGTCACCATCCCTGCGGGACGGGAGCTGTCACCCGGGGTTTGCACACCCACAGCCCAGTTCCAGGGCAGCAGCTGGAGCCCCACACATTACCTGAGCCACTGCAGGATGGGTCGAGAAGGATGTGGGTTACCCTGCTGTATTTGCGGTCTCTGGGGTCCACGGTCAGGAAGTCCTGCTGGACCAGCTGACAGCCAGTGACCCCTGCCCGTGTCAGCAGTGTGTTCATGGTGGCCACGCGCTTGGGGTCCACATCAAAGGCAAAGATCTGTCTGAAAGCGCCCAAGACAAGCCGTGAACAGACCACCTGGCCTCCAGGAACACTCAAATACTGGGCAGGCAGACCTTGAGAGCTGCCTCCCCTCTGGCAGGGTTATGGAACGGGACCAGGACTGGGGGCTGGAAGTGAACCCCTATGAGACTTCATGTCCACTCAGGTCCTTCCAGTGGCCCAGAAGTGACCAGCTCACCTGAGTTGGTGACAGGTTGTAGCTCCTCCTGCCACCTTCTTGTGGGCTCAGGGGGACCAGGGCCACCTCCTCCCTTCCCTCCACCCCTGCACACAACTCTGCCCTCACCCCTTGTTCTTCAGGATGGCAGCCAGGTGGCTTGTCTTGTTTCCAGGGGCAGCACAGGCATCGATGACATGGGAGCCAGCAACAGGGCCAAGGAGGAAGGCAGGGAGGCAGCTGGCCTGCAAGAGGGTAAAGACCATCAGAGGGGTGGGCAGAAACACCTGCCCCCTCCTCAGGAGGCAGGGCCGATGCTGTGGAGTCACAAGGACCACCATGACACAGGGCCAAGGCCATCACCACGCTCCACTAAAAGCCTTGCCCAACCCACAGTCCCCCTGCTCCTCCCAACTCCCACAGGGATTTTATATCCCAGAATTTCATCTTGAACCATCAAAGAACAGAAGCAAAGCCCCAGGGGTGTCCCACAGCTTCTTTTTGACTTAAATGCTGCAGCAAGCTGAGCCGCTGTGGAAAGGAGCTCACCCTTCATCCCTGTCAGCAGTTTTCCTGCCTCTGCAACTTTCTGCTCCCCAGTTCCCCCACCTTGTCCTGCAGAATTATGTGTCCTGAAGTATACAGCAGGTTGTCATGGAGGTCTGTCTGTGAAGGGAAAACCAACAGCTCCGGAAGATGCAGATCCAACATGAATTTTTTTCCAGAAAGGGCCTTCATCTCCTCCACACTGTCCAAGAGACACAGGGAGCATGAATACAAAGTCCTAATCCCACTGCTCACAGCAGAGCCCAGGCTGAGAAATCCCTTCATCCCACAGCTCCTTACCAGCTCCAGGCAGCACCCAGATAGGCAGCATCTAAGAGTGGGGAGTGATAGAGACCCCAACCCAACCACTCTAGCACCAAGCTCAGCAACCCTTCAACGCACCAGACCTCATCCCACTTGCTGACATTCCGGGAAAGGTGGGATAGCAGAAAGAAACATTCACCTGACTGCCTTGCCCAGATAGGTATATCCCTGGCGCTTGAAGAACTCGATCACATCGTCCACACAAGTCTTCAGGGTGTTGATCCGGACGTAGCGTGGGACCTGGGAGGCTGCAAGGGGCCGGACAGGTCAGACACAGACCCCACTGCTCCCAGCACAGGGTGCCCACCCAGCCCGAGCCCACTCACCTGCGGCGCTTACTGCCTTCTCCGGGGCCAGCAGGTCCTCGT